ATATATATATATATATATATATATATATATATATATATATATAACTTGTGTAAATAACTAGATTAATCTTTGCTCAGTCTCATATTGTAAATAGTATACTCCTGTGCCATGTGTTACTATGACTCACTGATCTCTAACAAAATTTTCTCTATTTTGGAAAATTGAAACATGATCAAGAGGATTCTCAGTGAAGAATATGGTTCATCAGTACTGGTTCATCTGAATAACGAGGTATGTTTCTACACTCTGCACAATTTGAAATACTAATATTTAATTCATGAGTAGAGTCCTACCTTCGTTCAAAAACTTCAAAAGCCTATCCTTTTAAGTTTGAACCAGTTCCGTTTCAACTAGAATCCTCACCGTGTTATAATGCCTAGATTCTAGAGAAGCCTAACCGCCTATCCAACCTGCAATTTCGGGGTGATTAGACTTCTGTTTGACTACTAAAAGCTTCCGTTGTGTATTAATTGCCCTCCTCCTTTAAATTCATCATCATCACCATTGCCACTCTCCCATAATTTTCAAAAAACCGTCAAAAATTTCTGTCTTCTCTTCTCTTATCTTCCAAAACTCAAACCTCCAATTTTTTTCAGAATCTAGAGAGAATGACAAACCCCCAAGATAACCCAGGCACACCTCCTCCACCTACCCCCTCCGATTCCTCCACCACTCCTCAACCCAACACCACCCCTCAACCTAGGAGAAGGCGAGTAAAGATGTTTGCTCGAAAAACTGTGGCTACAGGTGCGCTTTCAAGGAAATTAAACGCACAGTTAAAAGTTAGCCAAGTTCAAGATTCCCAAAATTCTGATGATTCTTTCAAGTCTGCAAGTGATGGGGAAGGAAATGGGTCTTCTGATTCAGAACAGGTAATGTCTGTGCCAAATCCCTCTACTGGGGTAATCTCTGATGTGGCTGAAAATCAAGAAAATCGATTTTTTTTGTTGGGTCTGTTGTGGATGTGGAAACTACTGAGTCGCGAAGGAGAGGAGGTAAAAATAAAAAGGGAAAAGAAACTGAGAGTGAGGGTGTACGTAGTGATGAGAAGGGAAAAGGGAAAGAAGTGTCTGATTCTTCACCCACCTCTGAAACTGTTAAAATGGCTATCTGTGGAGCTGAGCCAGAACAGGTGGAAGAAAGTAGCAAGAAAACAGGGGGAAGTGGATCAGGGGAAGCTGCTGAGGGACTCGTTAATCTTGGAAAGCACACAGGAAGAAACTCTAGCAGATCTCTTGAAAAAGGTAGGTGATAGCTATAACCCCAAGAAAAAGAGAACTCCAAAACCAAAGACTCCTGGCACAGCAAGAGCCAACAAGAAAGGAAGGCTGCTTCTTCTGAAACTATTGAAACTCCTTTTACCAAAAGGAAGGGCCACGAGGAGCAAGTTGAAGCAAAGTGAGGAGGAATTGCAGAAAGCTATGGAAGAAAGTAAGAAGAAAAGGATGGACAAAGGGAAGGCAAAGGTGGCAAAGCCTATTAAGGTTGTTGTTGTGGATGAGATGGACCCGGTCCATCAAGGTGAACATGTGACTGTTGAGGTGGAGGTTCAGACCCCTAAGCCTAAGAAAGCCAAGGTTTCCTCAAAGAAATCTTCATCTGTATCTAAGTCTGCTAAACCCTCTACTTTGGCTAAACGGACTAGGTCTGTTGTGAAAGCCAAACAAGTCAAAATTACTGAAGAAGAAGACTGGAGTGGTGAAGAGGAGGATGAATCAGATAATGATCAGGACAAGCTGGCCAAGTTTGGCAAACGCACTATCTTGAAGGGAAGACTGTTAAAGGACTTGGAGGAAGAGGGGATGGTTCTACTGCTTGAAAGGCTAGAGGTACAGGGGTGGAAGGACATGGTCCTTCAGTTAGATGGCAGACTGGCCCGGAATGAGATTATTGAATTCATGGCAAATGCTGAGGTTAAGGATGGGAGAATCACCATCCTGGTGAAAGGGGTTCAATTGTCTTTTGATGCAAAAGAGTTGGGCGAAATCCTTGGCATACCTTCTGAAGGTTATGATGATTACACAAGGCAAAAATGGCCAAGTCTGGACTCCCTTCCTACTGCCCTAGCAATCACTAAGAAATTCTGTGATAATAAGGAGGTCAATGCCCCAAAGTTTGTCTATAAGAGTGAAATGAAGCCTTCCCACAAGGTACTGTTTGAATTCGTCATCAAGTGTGTGGTGCCTAGGCAGGAAAGAAGGCACATTGCCAACTACATGGACTTGGTTTTGATGGAATGTCTGGATAGTGGGCGCCAGATCAATTGGCCTAGGTTTATAATCAAGCTTCTAGATCGAGTTGCCAATGGCTCTAAGGCCCATGCCACTCCTTATGGTTTCATTCTCACTACTATTCTTGCTCATTGTAAGGTGCCTCTGAAGAAGTGGGAGATGGCCACAAGCAAAGATCACTTTGGAATCAATACTCTGCTCGCTTGTGATTATGAGATCACTGCCACTCCCAATGAACCTGGTTCATCCAAAAAGACACCTGTAAATAGCAAGGTCAGAGCTCTATTGCAGGAGAGTGGGGCAAAGGATACTGAGATAGCAATGTTGAAGACTCGTTTGGCGGAGGTAGAATCTGAGATAGATGCTCTCAGAACTGAGCTCACAAAGGAAAAGGAGAAGAATGATGGAATTCTTCAAGACATGCTACACCTTCTCCAATTCAAAACCCAAAACCCCAGTTCTTCCAAGCCTTAATTTCCTAAGCCATGCCTAGACCTTTCAGTGACCCAGATTAGGGATTTTTTTTTTTTTTGCTCATGTTTTAATTGTTTTTGTCTCTTTTTGTGGATTGTGGCAGAATCATATTCTCTATCAATGAAGTTTCCTGCTTTTGCTCTTATTGACTGTTAATATTTCCTTGATAGTTTGAATGTGTAGTTGATTACTGATGATTAATCCATGAATGCATTTGCAGTTGCCCTAATGGCCATGAGTAATTTTACAAAAAATCTGGGAATCGCACATTGTTTATGCAACTTTTCGATGATGCCAAAAGGGGAAAAAGAAAATGTGCTTACATTCTGAATAGTGATGTTTATAACCTAATGAACCTGGTCCTTGATGATAAGTGAAAAAATATTTCTAATATTGCATTGATGTTGAGCTGAATACTAGCAGGGCCTAAGTGTATGAAAGTACAGAGTTTGTCATCATCAAAAAGGGGGAATTTGTTAACCCAAGTAAAAGTTAGTTTTGAAGACTGACAAAGGAACTCAAACATGAACCAGGTCCATCTCAGTGGAGCACAGATGTGGATAGACTTAAGCATGTGGGATGCACGTGAAGGAGATAAACCTAACTTGATAGATTTGATATCTCCTGATCCTGATAGAAAAGGTTGCATAAATGATAAGGAGAAGGACTCCTTAATCAAAGAAAACACTATCCAAGATAGGGAAGGAGTTAGAAGTTGAAATCAACTAGAACTCTTCCACCAAGGAAGAGTAGCATCAGAATTCTAGTCAATCTCTATTTACTAACTCTATAAATATTAGTGTTGTTCTCTTTTACAGGTAACGCACATAAGCAGAAATTAAACGTGAATTGAGAGCAAAATAGCAAGGCAATTTTGCAAGCAGTTCATGTGTGATTCAAGCGTGCAAACCTGAAGCTACATGAACCAGATAGAAGAACCAGTTCCAAGTGTCTGTCTTTTATTCTAGTTCAATTGTAGTAGGTGATTTCATATTGTACCTTTCAGCTTTATCTAGAGGCAATTATAATAGGTACTCAAAGTATTCAAGTTAGAGTTAACTTGAAGTTGTCGCAACAGTAAGAGGCTGGTTGCTATAACGGGATTAGAGTTAGTCCTAGGTTTACAAAAAAGTTTTTGTAAATGCAGTTTTTGGCTTAGTGATTTTAGTGGAGAAGTTTGGGAAAATCCTACCTGGAAAGTAGGTCGTGGTTTTTTCACCTTTTGAGCCAGGTGTTTTTCACGTAAAATACTTGTGTTCTTTACTTTCCACATTTTCTATTTCTGCAATAGTAGGTTAAGGAACTCTTAGAAGAACCAGGTCCTTCCATAATCAGTTTAAGCGAAAAAATTGGTCACCACACAAATTTACTTCCCCCCCCCCCCCCCCCCCCCGCGTGTGGTATTGAAGTATAAAATATCTTCTTTTTTTTATAGAGAGAGAGTGTGTGTGTGGGTGGGGGGGGGTAGTTTGGGGGGCGGGGCACAAAAGATTGATCCGCTCCGAAATGCTGTATTTTTCCCCATAATCACGAAACGTCATAGTTGTAGAATGTGAAAGGGGTATAATTACCTCAAGAATTATCATCAAAAGTTAATAACAAACTCAAGTCCATCAAACCTAGAAGTGGGGGGAATTATGCTTAAGATAATATACAGAAATGGACAACATAGACAGGGTTAAAGACCTTGTATTATGTTTGATTAGAACAAAAGTAACAAACTGTAGAGTTAAAAAAAAATAGAATTTCCAAGCACATCCCACAATCTAGTAAGGATTTCAAAACAGGCATTGTAGTATTGAAGTAGAATTCACAAAATCATGGGAATTTGTTGAAAGTTCAGAGAGGAACTGAACTATAGCTGGAAATGGATTGTTCCTCTCGATATGTTAGCTTGGATCTTGAATCCAGACACTGCAACACCCTCAAAACTTCGAACATTGAGGGTCGTTTCTCTGGCATTACAGTCGTGCAACGTATAGCAATCTCGAGAGCTCCAAGCATTTCATGTTGAGAAGCACTTGAAATTTTGGGATCAAGAACTTGTAATGCTCCATTGGTAATGTTGATTTTCCTCCTTACCCACTTTACCACATCAAGAGAGCCCTCTCCACATTCTGTTTCTTCTGCTTGCCTACCTGTTATAAGCTCTAGTAGGATCACACCAAAACTATATGTGTCCATTTGCTCACTACTCCTTTTTGTGTAACCATATTCTGCAAACAAACATCAGTGCAAATGAGAGTTTGTTCAAGCAATAGCAAGATAACTAATCACATTAATATGTTGTCTCGATAATAAAAGGGCAGCCTGGTGCACTAAGCTCCCGCTATGCGCAGGGTCCGTGGAAGGGCCGGACCACAAGTATCTATCATACACAGCCTTATCTTGCATTTCTACAAGAGGGTGTTTCCACGGCTTGAACCCGTGACCTCCTCGTCACATGGCAACAACTTTACCGATTACGCCAAGGCTCTCCTTAAATAATAATGCAGAGAAAAGGGTTTATTTCAAACTTATTTAACTACTGAATAATTTAAACTACACAGAAGAATAATCCAAGAATCCAACCATAGAGCAGATTCATATTAATATTTGCTCAAGAATGTGAAGTTTTTGAACTAAACCACCTTGGAGATCAACGAATAATTGCATATATAACTAGGAACCAAGGATGTTAGGTTGATAGTAGTTCATGACATTCAACTATAGGTTGCGTACCTGGTGCCAAATAACAGGAAGATGAAGCATCAGAAGCCAGAGATGACTTAAATGCAGCTTCTCCAACTATTCGATCTAGAGCAAAATCTGTGATCTTTGGTTCATAATCAGCATCGAGTAGGATATTAGTCGATTTCAAGTTTCGATGAAGTAAATGAGGAAGGTAATCTTTATGAAGATATGCTAATCCTTGAGCAACTCCAACAGCAATCTTCAACCTAACACTCCATTGTAATTGAAAATCAGATTTCCCAATCAAATCCCCTAAGCTTCCTCTTGCTAGATATTCATAAATCAAGAATATGGCATCATTCGAATAGCAAAATCCAAGAATCTTTGTGATGTTCTTATGCCTGATCTTAGCTAATGTCTTAATCTCAGTTTTCAAAGATTTTGAAGACTGTGTCCCAAAATTCATTAACTTCTTCACAGCAATTAGCTCGCCACTCGGTAAGTTCATAATATAAACTCTTCCAAATGTCCCTCCATTTCCTCTAGCATTCTTCTCAGTCATTGACATCATAAGATCATTCTCAGTAACTCTCAAAGGGTAAAAGAAAACTGATCTCCAACCATCCATTTCAGATCTTTGTTTCCTAGACCGCCTTATCGTGTAAAATCCAACACCAATAATCAAAATTGCAAGAACTAAAGTAACTGAAATTAAGGCAGAGGCCAATTTTGAAAGATTAACACCCTTTCGCGTAGCCTTTGCTTCTGAGCAAGAATTGGACAATCCTGGACCACAGAGGTCAGGATTTCCTTGCAAGAACGAAGCCGGAAGGCCAGAAAGCAATGAAGCTGGAACTTTACCGGATAGTCGATTAAAGGAGACATTAAATAAAGCAAGCTTCAAGTTCTGAAGCTCTTCTGGTATTTCACCAGTGAGATTATTGTGAGAAAGATCAAGATATGTTAAAACAGGCAATGCACCAAGGGATTTTGGTATTTCACCAATTAAATTGTTATCAGCCAGTGACAATGAGACTAATTTTTTACACTTTTTCAGTTCAGGAATTTTGCCAGAAAGGTAATTATGTGACAGATTTATGATACTCATTACTGGTGAATCACAGAAATTTGGAGGAAGCTCACCATACAAACCATTTAGAGATGCAGAAAATCTGTACAAGTTTCTAATCAGCCCAAGACCTTGTGGAATTTTACTAGTAAAGCTATTATTATCAATCTGAACTTGCTCCAACTGAACAGCCTGTGATATTGAATCAGGAATTTCACCTAAAAACCTGTTGTTTTCAGCTCTAATTAGCTTGATTTTAGGCAATGACCATAACCATGAAGGGAAATTCCCAGAGAACAAATTGTTCTGAACTTGAAAACTTTCAAGATTCATGCACTCATTAATGGAATCATTAGGTATTGAACCATTAAACAAGTTAGTATGTAAACCAAGATCAACAAGACCTTTTGCTTCACATATACCATTTGGAAATGCCCCAGAAATCTTGTTTTGTGAAACATCAAAAGAAACCAAATTTGGTAGAAAAAAACCAACTTGAGGTAAAATACCAGTAATATTGTTCTGTGATAAGTCCAAAATGACCAAACTTTTTAAACCCTCAAAGAAGTTTGGTATTTCACCATAAAAACCAGAACTTTGCAACAAAAGCTTCTGAAGCTTACTAAGTTTAGAAATATCTACAGGAATCTCACTTGCCAAGAATGGATTTTGAGACAAATCAAGAACCAAAAGCTCAGTGAAGTTACCAAAAACCATTGGAACTTCACCTGAGAGCAAATTACTACCAAAATTAATAACTTTAAGCTCATTTAATAACCCTATGCTTTCTGGGATTCTTCCTTCAAGATGGTTTCTACTAAAATCAACAACTTTGAGTGAACCAAACTCAGAAATCTGTTCAGGAATAGTACCCCAAATGAGATTGTTGCTAAGATTCAGAATTTCTAAAGAATTACAGTGTGAGAGATGTAGAGGTATAGGCTGGTTAAAGAAGTTATTTGCAAGGTTGAGATGAGCAAGATTGGGTAGTTGACATATAGAAGGTGAGATTTCACCAGAAAGATTGAAACTTTGGAGGTTAATAGTAGAGATGGAAGATGTACAAGTGATACCAGTCCAGTTACAGTGGTGAATAGTTGTGGTATTAGACCAGCTTGAAAGAAGGTTTAAAGGGTCATTAATGGAGTTCTTAAATGTTACAAGAATATCAGCTTCATCTAAAGCAGAACTCAGAAGAAACAATGACAAAAAGAGAAAGATGGAGGATTTGCAGAAAGTTGCCATTGGAGAGAAGGAGAAAGAAACTGAGAGTGAGAGTATTAGTTGAAGCTATAGACTATAGTGAAGTGTGGGAGTGTACAAAAAGTGTTAGGGATATATACTATTAACCATGAATTTTGGTTTGGATATAATATTTATTATGGAACAATTGCTTATTCAATTTTAATAAAGTTTTAAATAGATTATATATTCGTCAGTGTCCTTACTTATATAGTAGATGATTTAGTGTATAGAGTTTAGCTTATACACGGAAGATTAAATCATCGGTTCTTATAAGCATAAAGATCATGTTCACAATCTAATGATGGAATTGGACAAACCACCAGGAATGATTGTAGCACAAGATTAGAGATAATTTATCTTGATTATGGGAATGGTTTGATTCCAACTTCTTGTGCTAGTACATTTTGTATGTATTGAACGGACCAAGTAGAGATAAGTATTTTATACTGACTTACTAAAATAAAACTCTCTAGCCATTAAATGTATTTATACTCTTAATCTTTATATAATTGTTATTAGCTGTGTATATTATTATTGTTTTGATCTATTAAAAGGCGAGATTCTTTCGTGGGTCAATATGCCTGGTAAATTGGACAATAGTAATATACATTGGCAAAGTAATAGTTAGTTGATGGAATCCATGTCTCGGTCTAGAGATTGATGATACACCTTTATGAAAGCTTATAAGTTTTCATGTGTAAACCCTGAAGGTGAATTTTGTATCTGTCACATGAAATAAGTTAAGCGAAAGTCTAAAGGAAATAATCAATGAATTAAATTGTCAGCAATTTAATTTATTTGATTAGTATCTGAATCTTAACATGGGGAGTTAAATAAGATTTAATGGAAGAATTTCGAAATTGAACTGAGGAGTGCAATTACGAATTTTTAGTGAAATAATTTGTAACTTATTATGGTAGTATTAATTCAAATATTTCGAATTAAGTCCATAATAGGAAGCCTCGTTAATTAAATACTGCGGTCCCTGCTGTGCCCGAAAAATTAGGAATTAAATGGAATTCTATTTCTTGGTGGAAAAGGAAGACCCAACAGGTTTAGAAAAAGGGTTTTAAACCCTAAAACCTGTGGCTATATAAAGACGTCTTATTCCATAAGGAGGCAAGGTTTTTACTACATGCTTTTCCTAGGAGAAATTCGCCCACACGAATTTCGCTAATTCCAGGCATTTTCGGGTCACACAGCAGAAGACTGTGGAACTGGAGGATGATCTCGTGGACGGTTTTACTCTTGCTTGGAGGCTTCTCGCGATCGCGGTCACGCTTCAAGAGATAAGTATCGATTTTATGTTCGATTAAAATCTGTGATATGTGTTGTCTATATTACATGTAAGTGATCCTGGCTATTTGCTTTCGTTGTTCATACCTGTTTTCCATCAAAAAGGTCACTAAATGCCGGTACACTTAGCTCCCGCTATTCACGGAGTTCGAGAAAGATCCAGACCATAAGTGTTTATTCTACGCAGTTTTAATCTATATTTCTACAAGAGGCTATTTTCACGGCTCAAACTCGTGAGCTCCTAATCAGCAACTTTCCCTACTACCGTTAAAAAAAAGTTAGTACTACTCAAGAAAATGTATACATAATGAATTAATTGTATGCCAAATTCTATAAGTTGAAATCTAATGAAGGGTCTATATATGTATCTAAAAGCTGCTAAACAGCAAAAGTCAATGCAAATTATGTCATGAGAGAGTAGATAATCAAAGGACAATTTGTAATTTTGTGACCCCAAAAATGTTCTTGAAAAGGAATATATTCCTACTTTTTTTAACAAAATGGAGAAATCACTTCGATCAATCAATACATATACAGGATTTGGACATATCTAGCTAGAATCTATCAAATTTATCATATACAACAAGATTTAAGTCGATGCCAATTGCCAAAAATGTCTTCTTTTTTTTATCATATTAGCACTAGTACTAGTTCTTAGCATTATCACTGAAAAAAACTAAAAATGGACTTACCAACCTATTAATCTTGTGATTTGCTTATGTTTTTCAAATATTATTGACATTTATGCACAAGATTTGGTAAGAGAGAATCCTAGGAAAGAGATATTATATACAGAGATAAGTTAAACTGAAAAAAAAAAAATTAATCTCAACGTGAGTTACTTGTTTTTCCGAGCTACAGAAGAGATTTGTAGGTCTTATTGCACAAAATTTGGCCCACGAATTAATAATCATGACAAGTAGAAAAGGGGGGAAAAGCTGAAATTTAAGGGAAAGTGTTTGGGAAATTATCCACTTTTATTCTTCTTTTGAGTTTTATATTCATGAGCAATGAGTAACACACCCTAATTTAACAACCAAATCTAGTTTACTATTACATATGAGTACTGAGTAGTGTTTAAAATTTAAAAAAAAAAAAAAAAAACACTGAAACGCTCAAATGTTCAAACACTTTTCTTCATTTACGCCAAAAAGAAAAAAAAAATTACCATTTTATTTCATAGGATATTATTTAATAGAGCACAAAATTTGATAACTAAATAAAAAATAGTCACATAAAAAGTACCATTTGAACTCGTGATCTTAAATATGCGACAACACTCTTATGACTATAAGGTCATTTGGTAGGATGTATTAGGGAAATTATCAAAATAATACATGTATTAGCTTTAGAATTATTAATTCCTTATTTGGTAGTATTTTTCAACTTATGTGTAACACCATATTCAGTAATATTCTTATACATAGGAAACCATGGTATTACCAATATCATGATTTTTAATACATGAATAAGCATGTACGAAGACAGAACTGTCCTTTCAAAATCTTTTCCAAATCCTTTCTAAAGAATATGAAGGATAATTTTATAAACAAATAAATTTTTAGGAAAAAGAATGCAATGGATGTTATTTTTAATAAACCAAACTAAACAGTCATTAAGAAATAATCACATCATAACTAGTTCCAGTATTACTACTCTTAATATTATTTATACACTGTTTGAACAAAAAGTATTAACAAGATGACTTTATTTTTATTTTTAACAAATGAAGAAGTGTCATTTAAAATAAAAACGGATGAAAAATATATAACAAAAAAAATGAAAAGATAAAACGAAAGAGATAGGAGACAAATAAATAAGAAAGGGCAGCCCGTGACTAGGTAATGAAGAGGGTGGTAAAAGATGACAAAAGAGAGTGAGGAAAAGAACAAATTAAAGGGTGCAAATTTGCTTCCCTCACGTTACATATGACATGCTTGCCATGCCCTTGGATTTTTTACTCAACGACCTTCTGACTGTTACAATGACATATGCCAATCCCCCATTGTCCTTTTCCAAATTTTTTATTTCACTAATATATATATGTTTCAAGAAGTTTTACTCATACTCAAATATAGTTAAAAATTAATTTTTGGTTTAGTGTAATCTGATTATTCTAATATATTGTTCATTTTAGCTCTTAACGATCAACCCATATTTATCGGAAACGCTTGCTTACACAGAGGCGGATCCGGAATAGTCTAGTTTTTTCCTCATTATTTTTGTAATTTTTGCAAACTCTTAATAAGTTACTAGACCAAATGGTAATTTATTGTAAAAAATAAAAGATGTATGGCCTGGATACTCCACCTTGAATAAAATCCTAATTTTACAACAAAAAAAGGACATCAAATCGAAAAAAATTGAAGATCTTCTAATCGGACCCTTTCAATTAGCATAATATTCTCGTTATTATTGCTCGAAAATGGAGGAATGGAGCAAACATGAGAATCATTATTGTGGCGGCAGTGTGGTTGTTATGGAGGAAGGGGTGTACTGGCATGGTGATGGTACATTTGAAAAGATGAAGAATTAATTTTTTAACAATCAAAAGTTTTGCCAGTTTTAGGTGGGTCGATTTTTGGGGTTAAGTAAAAAAAAGGGTTAAGGTTGGGTTTATTTAATTGGGGTCATAGTTTAAAATTGGATCAATAAAAATTTGACATGTTTAGTTTAAATATTTGGCATTGATCATTAGTTGTAGGGGCATAAGTGAGCCAAAAACATAACGATGGGGATAGTTTGGCTCAATAGATGAACAGAAAGTATATTTGTACCTATCAAATAGTCTGAGGGTAGTTTCGGCCCTTTTCATTTTAGAATGCAAAAATAGACTATGTTTGTATGGTGTTGGGCTAGATATTGGAGAATCTTTCCATTTACAAATAGGACCCCAAAAGAAAAAAGGTCACCCGCTTTATGCGCTGAGATTCCTGTATCACCTGTGCTATTTCCCTTTCTCAAGGTGGTCCTCATTTCATTTATTTTATTTTTACATTTTGGAATAATTTATTCTCGTTAAAACTAAAGTATATACATATATGAATTATCACCATATTAACCTTATATAAATCTAAAAGCAATAGCAAATCAGCCATGGTCAAGGGCGGAGCTAGCATGCCCAATCATACCTTGTATTTATTTAAAGAAATTCATTAAAGATGTACAAATTATTAATTTAGAAATACTTACAGCAACTTTAAAAGACTAAAATCCCAAACTCCTTAAGCTTCAAATTCCGGCTCGACCTCTGGCCACATGAACCCCCCCCCACCCCCCCCCACCCCCCAAATACACATACAGCCAAACATGAAAAACAACAACAACATACCCAGTAATATCCCACACCGTGTGGTCTGGGGAGGGTAATGTGTACGCAGACCTTACCCCTATCTTGAAAGGATAGAGAGTTTGTTTCCAATAAACCCTAGGCACAGGAAAGTATAAGCACCACATTAATATAGACAAGAAGGAACAGTACCAAAAAACCATATAAAAACAGAATAAAAATAACCTGATAGTAAGGTGATCAACAATGAAAGAAAACAACGGCTAGTCTGCCAAACGAGAAAAAGTTATAAATAAATTGAATTTAAACACTACTTATATTTCAACTTATAGGATAGTATTTTACTTTATATAGTTTAATAAGAAGGACTTATAATGCATAAACTATTGTACATATATAACATAGCGAAATATACATAAAAATTATAATTTTAAACATATCATGTTATTTGTATAAGAACATCAATAAAATAAATTAAAATAAAAACTTTTCAAATATAAAGGTG